CGAGGATGTGTACAGGCAGCTTGGACGCGTGAAATCAACCACCTGTCTCCTTGATCCTTGCCCATCCTGGCTTATAAAAGCTAGCCAGGAAGGGCTGGGCGATGGGCTTTGTGGGGTGGTGAATGCTTCCCTCCGTGAGGGAGCCTTCCCAGACCCGCTGAAAGAGGCGGTTATTAAACCGCTTCTTAAAAAACCATCTTTAGATGCGGCCACGATGGCCAACTATCGCCCAGTCTCAAATCTTCCATTCTTGGGCAAGGTGATTGAGCGAGTGGTTGCTGAACAACTCCAGGCACGCCTGGAAGAAGCGGACCATTTGGATCCCTTCCAATCGGGATTCAGGCCTCATCATGGGACTGAAACTGCCTTGGTCGCACTCGTTGATCTCCGGCGGGCTAGGGACAAAGGTGAGAGCTGTTTCCTAGTTCTGCTGGATCTCTCAGCAGCGTTTGATACCATCGACCATAACATCCTTCTGGACTGTCTTGAGGAGCTGAGGGCACTGTCATACAGTGGTTGCACTCCTTCCTCCTGGGCCATGTTCAGAAAGTGGGGGGGTGAGTGTTCAGACCCCTGGGCTCTCACTTGTGGGGTGCCTCAGGGTTCTGTCGTCTCCCCCATGCTTTAAACATCTACATGCAGCCACCGGGAGAGATCATCAGGGGGTTTGGGCTGGGTGTTCGTCAGTATGCGGATGATACCCAGCTCTACCTCTCTTTTAAATCAGAACCAGTGAAGGCTGTGAAGGTCCTGTGTGAGTGTCTGGAGGCGGTTGGAGGATGGATGGCGGCTAACAGATTGAGGTTGAATCCTGACAAGACAGAAGTACTGTTTTGGGGGGACAGGAGGTGGGCAGGTGTGGAGGATTCCCTGGTCCTGAATGGGGTAACTGTGCCCCTGAAGGACCAGGTGTGCAGCCTGGGAGTCATTTTGGACTCACAGCTGTCCATGGAGGCGCAGGTCAATTCTGTATCCAGGGCAGCTGTCTACCAACTCCACCTGGTACGCAGCTGAGACCCTATCTGCCCGCGGACTGTCTCGCCAGCATGGTGCATGCTCTGGTTATCTCCCGCTTGGACTGCTGCAATGCGCTCTATGTGGGGCTACCTTTGAAGGTGACTCGGAAACTACAACTAATCCAGAATGCGGCAGCTAGACTGGTGACTGGGAGCAGCCGCCGAGATCATATAACACCAGTCTTGAAAGACCTACATTGGCGCCCAATACGTTTTCGAGCACAATTCAAAGTGTTGGTGCTGACCTTTAAAGCCCTAAACGGCCTCGGTCCAGTATACCTGAAGGAGCGTCTCCACCCCCATCGTTCTACGCGGACACTGAGGTCCAGCACCGAGAGCCTTCTGGCGGGTCCCTCACTGCGAGAAGCCAAGTTACAGGGAACCAGGCAGAGGGGCTTCTCGGTAGTGGTGCCCTCCCTGTGGAATGCCCTCCCACCAGATGTCAAAGAGAACAACAACTACCAGACTTTTAGAAGACATCTGAAGGCGGCCCTGTTCAGGGAGGCTTTTAATGTTTGATGTAGTACAGTATTTTAATCTTTGCTGGAAGCCGCCCAGAGTGGCTGGGGAAGCCAAGCCAGATGGGCGGGGTATAAATAATAAATTATTATTATTATTATTATTATTATTATTATTATTATTAGAGTCCATGTCTCCTAAACTGTGGTTTGTAGGGTTAGGATTGTGTTTTGTCTTCCATGCTCCTTCCTCCCCTCCCTCTTTTCCTCACATGTGGGTTTCCTTCTCCACATCCTAGCTGTCTCTTACCATATTGTGTTGTGATACCAGAATTGACAAATTGCAATTAGGAGCTTACCTCTAACCCAAGGTTTGTAATCTTGCTTCAAATCATAGTTTGGAAGCAAAGTGGTAACTATGGTTTTCTGACTTAGACGTCTTTAGGAAATGATGAAGGGAAACTCTGTGTAATAAGAGCAAAGGAGACTGTATCATGTTTTTTTTAGTCTGGTTTAGAGAATTGGGTTCATGACAGGATAGCAGAGATGATGTGCAGATAATGTCTAAACAGTGAATGTGTGAAAACAACAAGCACTCTCACTGTATAAGATCCCAGATAGACCATACAAAATGCCATAATGCAACATTCTAATATTGTTTAATTTCTTTTCTTTTTTTAATTGCCTATTTTTCTTAATATCTCCATGTGCTTCACTCTTAAGGTTTCTGGTTACACTCTGACAGTTCAAGCATCTGACAATGGAAACCCACCTAGAGTCAACACAACTACAGTTAATATTGATGTATCTGATGTAAATGACAACCCACCAGTGTTTTCCAAGGAGAACTACAGCATTATTATCCAGGTAATTTATATATCACATACACGCTAATGGGAAACTCATATATATCACAGACACGCTAATGGGAAACTCAGTTGTGTGGATTGTCAGGGAGAGGACCACACCTTGGTCATTGCCACCAAGGTCCTGGGCAGTGCTTTTTTCTCTGGGGGTACTTAAGGGTATGCAGTGCCGTGACCTTTTTTCTAGAAGAAAAGCACTGGTTCTGTAGTATATTAAAATGTTAATATTTTTATTTCAGTTTGAAGTTTTGGAGTTGATAATACTGGTAATGGTAAGCAAAATTTGGCTTGGCTTACTAGCCAGACCACTTGCTTCATCACTGAACCGTTTATGCCTTGGTTCCCACAGCTGGTACAGGTAATTCAGGGAAGGAATAAGTGTTTGTCCTTTTGGTGGGGTTTTGAAGACAGGGCAAACAGCACCTCTCTGTTGCTGTGTCCTACAAAAGTCCAGTGAGAAGGGGAAGAAACCACCCCTCTGCTCCCCAGAAGGAGTATTTTTTTATTTCCTTTCTGTGGGGGGTTGGCAGGAAGCAAAAGAGGTAAGTTGAAGCTGGTGCCTTTTGTCAAAGCACATTTTCTGGGGATGGAAGCTATCTCCCACCCCTACCGCTGCCACCATTTTCTACAGAGGAAAGAAGATATCATATTGTTCTTACTAGTTGAGCAGGAAAGTGCCGGCCATGCCTTCCAGCTTCCTCCTGCAAGAAAAGCTAATGGGAGGAGGGAAAGAAATTGCTGCTGCCTTTCTCCATGGGGAATGGGTCGTAAAGGAGGTGGCCTTCTTCTCTTCCCATTAGGTTTTTGCAAGAGGCAGCAACAAGGCACAGCTGCTGTTTTCTGCAAAAGCCCGTGCTTTTGAGCAAAATTGTTTTTCATTTCCTTCCCATTCTTTCCCCCCATGCTGCGCACTGGACTTGGGGAGCATGGACTTGTAAAATGCCTCCTGAAAAGAAAAACAAAAACAAAAAACACGAAGGGAAATAAATTACCCCATGTTGCAGCCTCGGAGAAGAAAGAGGGTATTTTTTCCCTCCCTGTTCCTTACAGTTTTGTGCAGGATGTTACAGCATGGCACTGCTGGTACTTTTTACAAAAGCCCAACTTTTGAGAGAGAAAATGCCTTTGCTTTCCTCCCTGAGCAACAGGGGAGGGCAAGAAAGTTGTGTTTCCAAAAGCAGGGCATAGGCGCACACCACATCGTGGAGGGTTACTGTCTTACAGTAAGCAGCTTTATTGAATCCTCCATATTACGAAAAGCACATCATTGATTCCGTAATGTTGATTTGCTGGAAAGCAGTAGTTAGCGAGTAATCAAGAGTGGCAATTGTTAACAATTTGCAGGGGCCTTGTGCGGTGATCAAAATAGGCACCCTTCGATTAGTTTGTTAACAGCCTTGTGTTTACTCCCAAATCTAAACTGATGCACCAAGAAGCAAGTTTGTACAGTCTCATCTGAAGGCTGGAATTGGAATGGGAAGGAATCTTGGATTTTCCATTACTCACTGACCAACAATGATGTGTGGATGCACTTTGAAAGAAGAGAGCTGGTAGTGTTGATTGAGCTGAAGAACAGCAGAGAGATGTTGGCGAATGTGCTCTTATAAATGGTTTGGGGGTGTTTTTTTAACGGTACACAGAGAGTTTATTGTGCAGTAGGCTAGGAAAGAAACAGCTTGGTGGAGTTGAATCCAGTTTGCCCAACGTATCCATTCCTCTTATAATAATGCAACACAGTACAATGCTGAATCTTTGATTTCAGTATGGCAAAAATAAGTCACAGAAGCAGAGGTTCTAATTGTGCCAACATGACCGAGTCTATTGCCTCGGACACGATAGGGTTACAGCATAAATGTATGAACCAGACAAAGAATGGGAGACAGTGAGCTTTGTCCTCCTTTTAACCAGATAGGAAGTGGAATGACAGAGAGATTAAGAGATTTACTTCACAAGAAGGTTACAACACAGGCAGGAAGTAATCCTGGATCTTTTAGCTCTCAGCTGTTTTACACATAAGAATTTTCCTAATAGGTCAGCTCAGTATCTCATTCTGCTCTCCAGCCTACCTCAGCAGTGGCCATTTTAGAGAAATTGCTGCAGTTACGTCCCAGCTGTGGAGTGAATCAACTATTCCCATGCATTTCCCCCCCTTTCATTTTCTCTTTATGTGCCTGCCATGACCTCTCATAGGTTCTAGGCACAGAGATTGAGATTAGTCATAGAGTCTCATAGAATTATAGAGTTTGAAGGGACCATAGGTAAAGGGACCCCTGACCATTAGGACCAGTCGTGGCCGACTCTGGGGTTGCAGCGCTCATCTCGCTTTATTGGCCAAGGAAGCTGGCGTACAGCTTCCGGGTCATGTGGCCAGCATGACTAAGCCGCTTCTGGCAAACCAGAGCAGCGCACGGAAACGCCGTTTACCTTCCCACTGGAGTGGTACCTATTTATCTACTTGCACTTTGATGTGCTTTCGAACTGCTAGGTTGCCAGGAGCAGGGACTGAGCAACAGGAGCTCACCCCATTGCGGGGATTCAAACCGCCGACCTTCTGATCGGCAGGCCCTAGGCTCTGTGGTTTAACCCACAGCGCCACCCGCGTCCCACTGAAGGGACCATAAGAATCATCTAGCCCAAACTTCTGCAATGCAGGAATCTTTTGCCCAGTGTGGATTTTGAACCCACGACTCTGATATTAAGAGAATCATGCTCTACCAGCTGAGCTACCCTAGCAGGTCTAACTACCCTAAAAAATCCCTTTCCTCAGGAAATCTGAAGTAGGCTCTTAAAGCAGAATTTAAGTTTCCTAGGGACAGGCATTGGGTTGTACTGAGCGAACTTTTATTCAGAGGAAACCTAATGGACAGGACTAACTTAAAGTTCATTGATCTTAATGGGTCTACTCTGGGTAAATGTTAATTGAATACAGCCTGTTATGTTTTTTCAGATAATATTATCTACCTGGTCATTTAGAAGATGCTAGGGTAACCTATTAATCAGAAAGAAATCGCAGGGAAAGTGGAAAGTTAAGAAGTCTTTTTTCCCCTTCAAGTCAGTAAATTAGTTTGCTCTGTTTCTCCAAGGTGTCTTTTCCTGATGGCTCGGCTCGATGGTACTGAGTGGCATTCAGCATATAACTGAGCCGGGTTATGTAATGTGAAAGGAAAATCCAATGTCTGTCTAAAAAACCTGATATTCTGTTCTCTCTACCCTTTTTTATATTGGTGTGCCTCTTCTGTTCTCTTCTGTTCCTTTCTCTAAGAAAGAGACAGAGCAAAGGACAACAGTGGAGAGATAGGAACACAGAGATATAAAACTGACCACTTTCCACCTGACTCCCTATCCCTTTCAGCACGTCTTTCTTTCTCTCTCAGTTGGACTCACTTGACACCAGGTTGTCCTTCTCTTTCCCAGCAGATTCCATTGCTCAATTCACCATATTTTGTTTTCCAACTTCTTCAAGCTCAGTTGGGATGGGGCTTTTTGGGAGGAGTGGAGTATGAGGTTGCAAAAGCTTTTTAATTTTTTTAATAAATATGCTCAATTTTAAACAACTTAGGTTTAAACTGTTCTTATTTACATTTTTTTAGTTATATAAAGTGCATATTATTTTGAGCTAAAGTAAAAAAAGCTTCAAATGAATGGAAATTCATATACATGTTGTTTTTGGAATGAATGCAGGAGTTGTTCCCATAGGGCCTCCCCCCCCCTTGGGGTTTTTATTTTGGGGAGGGGGTATTCAAATCTTGGGACTCCCAAGAATTTGCTTATAACTCCCATTTTTTGTGTGGCTGCTGCTGTTTTGGCTACCTAGGCAATGTCATCTAATATTTATGAAGAGTGGACAGATTATTTTTTGCTACTTTACTTGCTGCTACAACTTCTGTTTTTGCTTTTATAGGAAAATAAGCCAATTGGGTTTAATGTCCAGCAGCTGATGGTAACAGACAAGGATTCTTCCCACAATGGGCCACCTTTCCATTTCACCTTCGTCAGTGGGAATGAAGACAGCGCTTTTGAGATCACTCAACAAGGAGTACTTACAACCGCTATTCAACTAAAACGCAAAGTGAAGGATCATTATTTTCTTCACGTTAAGGTGCAAAGTGTTCACAATATGGTGCTTGAAATGTATTGTAACATTTGTGATGGGGAAGGGAATACGTACGTGTGTGTGTGTGTGTGTGTGTGTGTGTGTTTAAAACATTTTACCCCACTTCTTAGCTGATAAAGCTCCCAGAGTGAGTTATAGATCAGTGAAAAAGAGAAAGGCTTCCAGCTGATCTTACAATATTTGTGAGTGCTGCTGCATATTCCAAGTAGTGATTTAGTGTGGAATGTATAAATCAGTTAACACTAATCTGGAGTATACTTCGCTGTGACTATACTGAAAGCTACTACTACACTACCCAGTACTGCTCTTGACTGAGGCATGACATGGCAATTAAAGAAACTTATTGTAAGCATAGGTTTCTTCCCATGGCAGATGCACCTGCACAAAATTCATTCATTGCATTTTTTGCTTTTATATCTCTCCTTCCCTTCAAATAACTCCAGGGGAAATACATGGCTCTTCCCCTCTCTATACTGCCCTCACAACAACCCTGAGAGGCAACTACAGCATTGAAGTAGTGAGCTCATGCAGGATCCTGGCTCCTTTCCCCTGAACATGTAAATTATAAGTTTCTCCAGCTGCACCCTGTTCATCTGAGTAGTTGTTTCAATAAGGGTCCTGCTGTTACTTGTGGGAACCATCTCTTAAGTCATGTGCATTAAGAGTTCAGAGCACCAGCTCAAGAGGGCAAAAACCTCACCACTATTTAAGTTGAACTGGAGGGAGTGGAGAGAATTCCTTCCTAATCTCAAAATAGATGACTTCTGATTTTAATGGTGTGTGTAGTAACATATTTAGGAGATTCGTAATTGGATAACTTGTCAGTATCTCAAGAAATACATTCATTGAATAGTTTTGTATGTGGCTCTGTGATTCCTGGGAAAAGAATAGCTTTCTTTGAGTTTGGATCTTGAAGGGGGGAAAGCTTTCAAAGTGCCATCTGCTGTTTGAAACGGGTTACTTCATTGCTAATATTTTCCATAAAACACTGTGGCAGGTTTACTAGTAGCTTCTTCAAGAACCATTGGCAACACTTTGGAAATAGTTCCAGTAGTTGGAGCTCCGCACATGCATGGATGGTTCTTAATTGCGATCCAAAAGTTGGAAGCAAATTGCACTATTTTAATGTGGCAGCTCTTCGCTGGTCAATTCTTCTGTACAAAGCATTCATTAAAGACCTTGACCTCTTTAATAATCATATAAAGCTTCTAGTTAAAAGCTGATGAAATTGAGCAGAAACTCAATGCTTGTGCATCATTTTCCACTAGGTGGCTGATAATGGAAGACCTCAGTTGTCATCTTTGACTTACGTGGACATTAGGGTCATTGAGGAAAGCATCCATCCTCCAGCAATTCTGCCCTTGGAAATCTTCATCACAACCTTTGGGGAGGAATATTCTGGCGGTGTCATTGGAAAAGTACATGCAACTGATCAGGATGTTTATGACACTCTGACATACCACCTGGATCCCAAGATGGACTCAGTGTTCTCTGTCTCTAGCACAGGTGGTAAGGTGATAGCTCACAAAAGGCTAGATGTAGGACAATACCTGCTGAATGTTACTGTTACAGATGGAAAGTTTACTACCGCAGCTGTCATTTCAGTCCATATCCAACAAATCACGCAGGAACTGTTGAACCACAGTATAGCTTTCCGTTTTGCCAACCTTGCCCCCGAGGAGTTCATTGGTGACTATTGGCGCAATTTTCAGAGGGCTCTGAGGACCACCTTGGGAGTCAGAAGAAATGACATACAGATTATTAGCTTGCAACCGTCTGATCCTCCATTGAACCTTGATGTGCTGCTGCTTGTAGAAAAGTCTGCTGGTTCTCAGCATTCAACCAGAGCCCTACTCCATAAGATCAACTCCTCTGTGGCTGACCTTGAAGAGACCTTGGGCGTCCGGATACTCAACGTTTTCCTCAAGCTGTGTTCGGGCCTCGATTGCCCTTGGAAATTTTGTGAAGAAAAAGTGACCCTAGATGAGAACATCATGTCAACCCACAGCACTGCCAGGCTGAGTTTTGTCACACCGCATCACCGGAGAACTGCAGCCTGTCTTTGTACAGGTAAAGTAACCATACAAAGTATGCTGGAAAATAAATTGTGTATGATCTTTCACATCGCAGAGGGTTTAATTGCACTCCTTACTTTTAAGGCTCCAGTCTTAAGCCTAGCAATTTCATGAGATAGGGAAGATGTACCTGGTAGTTATTCCTTTAGCTAATAAGGTATCTCTTAAGCACTTGAAGAATTTCATTTTTGCCTTCTATTGTCTTTAAATGGATTCTGCACAAGATCTTCAGCATAGATTTTGAGGGGAAATTCTACTAGTACCTTTGGGGAAATAGCGTGCCCTTGAAAAAAGTGGATCAGCAGCCTTAAGGGATATGGAAGCAGTTAAAATATATGTTCGGCTTTAGCTAGGTAACATTTTAGGATAGCGTCATGTCGGGAGAAGAAAGTGTTGCAGTGTCAGGTGAGCAGTTCTCCCAGCTGGAGCTCATATTATAGCAGTTTAAGAATCCCATGTCTCCTGTAATTTCTTGCTTATTTCCTTGTCACCTACTTTAACACAGCTATAATTTTCATCACCCGTTGTGCCTGGAGAATATTAGGCTTTCAGTTTTAGGAGTCGTTGCATTAAAAAAAAATTGCCATGTTTGGGAAGAATGTGATAAAAATAAAACCTTGCTCTATTTATATATAACTATTATCTATATTTACAGAAGGAAGCTGTCCCCTTGTGAGCAGTGCCTGTGAGGGGAATCCATGCCCTGAAGGTACAGAATGTGTAGCAGATCCCAGAGAAGGAAAGTTTACTTGCATTTGCCACGGAAGCAACAATGCCCAGTGCCCTGGTAAGATTTTAACTCCTAATACCCTTCAGCTTTGTCTTCAGCCTTCTTGCTGAGAAATGCAGCTTTGAGCCATCTCCCTCTCCTCCTCTTTTTTTTAAAGTATCGGTTGGACCATCAGTGACTTTTACTGGAAGCAGCTACATGAAGTATCGCCTCATGGAAAATGAGAACAAGGAAGAAATGAAGCTCACTATGAGACTCAGGACGTACTCAACTCAAGCGGTTGTTATGTATGCCCGAGGAACAGACTATAGCATTTTAGAGGTGTGTTAGTTTCAAATGCTAGAAGCCTTAAACTGCGCAGAAAACTGCCTTAACACACTCACTTTGAAATCTAATTTGCACCTAAATTGTCCCAGGCTTAGAATGAATCATTTGATTCCAACCAGCGACATATAATTGAACACCCTGTAAATCAGCAGGCAATAGACAGTACATATTTAGTAAAGTATGTGATGCCTTCTACAGTATTGGAAATGATGCTTAAATCTTCCAGCTGCTAACACTTTATAGACAAATATGCCCCACGTTAATATGCTATGATAAAAAACACTGAAAAGGGATATGTTAACTGAGATGGAAAAATGAATGAAAATGCCTGTGTGTGTGTGTGTGTGTGTGTGTGTGTGTGGCCAGCAGTAACTGGAGGTTGAAAATGTATATATAAAGCACAGTCATTTCCACCAAAGTGAACCCCCTTGATCTTTCACCATTCTGAAAGTATTCTGCTTAATAATCATAACCTTAAGGAAGAAAA